TCGACGACAGTTTTCCGCCTCCCGTCCCTACCGAGCTCATGGAACGTATCGGGCGCGTGCTCTCGCAGCGTACTGTGTCCAGTACGGATACCCTCTACTTCAGCAAGCTGGATATGGCCTCAGGATTCTGGCAGCTAGCTCTCACTCTGACAGCTCTCAATATACTGGGTTTGTTACTGAACAAGGATCCTACCAATTCCGCGCTCTGCCCTTTGGTCTGAAAACGGCCACAGCTGCCTTCCAGAAGTTCTCACAGGGCATCCTCGCAGGTATGAACAACGTCTTAGTCTACGTCGATGATCTCTTAATCTTTTCCATGGGTAATCCTCGTTCACACCTACAGCAGGTGCGTCTCCTACTGGAGCGCCTCCGCCACCACCAGGTCTTCGTTAAACGGAGCAAGTGTGTGTTTCTTCAGACGCAGATCAGTTTTCTCGGATATACTTTGAATGCGCATGGGATTGCACCCGAGGCTAGCAAAGTTGCTGCCATCGAAGATTTTCCGCCTCCTGCATCTGTGAAACAACTTCGCCAATTTTTAGGCCTCGCCAATTTTTATCGGCGTTTCATCAAGAATTTTGCCAACTATGCTGCACCTCTCTCAGATCTGCTGAAAACCAGTCAACGTCGCTTCGTGTGGACTCGGTCTGCTGAGACTGCTTTTGCCGCGCTCAAGACAGCTCTTACGCAGGCTCCAGTCTTGGCTCACTTCCGTTCTGATCGGCTGACCATCCTGTACACAGACGCTAGCGACCTGGCCATTGGAGCCGCGCTTCATCAGATCGATGAAAACAACGAGGAACATCCCGTTGCATTTTATGGCAAGAAACTCTCCTCCGCCGAACGCAATTACTCCACCTATGAGCGTGAGCTTCTTGCTCTCAAGGAAAGTCTCCGTCATTTTTCCTACTACTTGATTGGTCGTCGCTTTCGTGTATGTACCGATCACCACAGCTTGATCAGATTGAACACCCAGTCTGAACTCTCTCCCCGCCTGGCTCGTTGGTTGTCTACCTTCCTTCAGTACGACATGGAGATCCACCACATCCCTGGCGAAACTAACGTCGTTGCTGATGCCCTCAGTCGGATCTCAGGCGACTCGCCTGCTCCATCGTTCGCTCCCCAATCACCCGCTGATCTGACTCAGGCTCATGATCGCGCTATGCGCGCTGAAGACATTGCTCGGGATCTTCTTGTTGGTCTTCATACCGTTCAGATGCTTACGGATTCCTCGTTCGTCTCCCAACTGATGCAAAACTACTCCACCTGTCCTGACTTTCAGGTTTTATACCAACTGGGCAAAGACGGCGAATTGCTCGGCCAACCGGGTTGTCGTCATTTTGAATTTTCGGATGACTTGCTCTACTATGTTGATTCTACCGGCAGGACGAGGATCTGTGTTCCTACCGCTATCCGCGCGGCTGTACTACGCCTTGCACACGATGATGCCGGACATGTTGGTTCTGACAAGACCTACCTCTCACTTGTTGCCAAAGTCTACTGGAATAACATGAAGCGTGATGTCGAAAATTACGTGCATTCCTGCCTCATTTGCCAGGCTGCGAAGAACTACAAACAGAAACCCATCGGTTTGCCCAAGAGTCATGACGTTCCTGCTGACAAATTTGACGTCATCTCCGTCGATCTCCTCAGCGGACTTCCGACTACCTCCCAAGGTCATGATTCTCTCTTCGTCATGTTGGACTCGTTCTCGCAACATGTCACGCTGGCTCCAACTCACAAGTCTGCTACGACCCAGGAACTTGTGGATTTATTTCTCCAATACTTCTATCGCACTCGTGGTCTTCCTGCTGCAATCCTTTCGGATAATGGGCCAAATGTCTCCTCGCATTTTTGGGATACAGTATTTCAGACGCTAGGTGTTCAGGTACGCCACTCTTCCAAGTACTATCCCCAGGCCAATGGTCGCGTTGAACGGATCAATGCCACCATTCTGGATATGCTCCGCACTAAACTCGCTCAGGGTTCATCTGAATGGACAGTCCATCTTCCATTCATTGAGTTTGCCCTCAATCATGCCCCCCGTCGTGAAACAGGGTTATCTGCCTTTCAAGTGGAATACGGCAAGAATCCGCGCTCAGTTATGGATTTGACCCTTGATCAGGTTCTTCCTCAAGCCCGCACGACTGTCGACAACATACGTGCAGGTGAAAACCTTGTGCGAGATACCTTGGCCTCGATCGCCAATCGAGCAGAGACGCGTCTACTTCCTTCTCGCCGCCCGCTTCGATGGCAAGTTGGTGATTTGGTCTGGATCGACGCGCGTTTATTCAATCAGCAGTTTGAAATTCGCAAATTTCGAGATCGATACATTGGTCCTTTCCCTATCACCGAGGTTTGCAACAACAACAATTATCGAGTTGATGTTCGCCAGCGCTTCCCTCGCATGGATCAAGATGTTTTTAATGCCAAGTTCCTACGCCCCCATGTGCGCAGGAACGATCATTTGCAGCAGCCTGTGGTTTCCCAACCTGTACCTGGATTCTACGAAGTGGCTCGCATCATCAATCATCGTCAACGTAATGGTGCGAAGCAATATCTGGTTCGTTGGAAGGGATTTTCCTCCGCCGACGACACTTGGGAACCTGTTGCCCATCTCTCGCGAACACCGGCGCTCCGTCAGTTGCTTCAGCAATATGAACAGCATCGCACGCGTCAAGATGCTTCTGCTTCTTCTCATGGACAGCGGCAGCGGCAGCGTCGTGCGCCTCTCAATTCGGCATTTTACGTGCTGCGCCTGGAGCGTGTCAGAGGAAAAACAGATTTGACAAGCTGAGAAAGCGAAGTTTTCTGAGTCCTGAGCACTCCAAGAAAGCGCAGAGAAGAGCGTGTCAGAGCTCATAGGAACCGAGCCCGAGTCAGACAAAGGCCTATCAGGATGAAAGGACAGTTGGCTGTCTCGTACTCGTGTTCGAAGCTGACTTCTCCTGGATGACCCAGGATACTCTACTCCAGTGTGAAGCTGCTGAAAGGACCCCTGTGGAGGCCTTTGTTGCAGCAACCGTGTACCCGTGGGGGACTTACAAGGTAAACAGAAGGGGTGCGTCTTGTGCAGTACGACCCGTTGGAAGCAGCTTGCTGCCATGCAAGGACGGGGTTCTCTTCCCTGCGAGAGAGCATGGTATCCTCTCGAAGGTCAGAAGGGATGCTTGTCAACTTCCAAGAACAGGACACCCCTCCTTTCTGTAGCCAAGAGACGGCACCCCTGGCTCATTCCTCGAAGCTATAAAAGGATGAAACTCGTCAGAGCTAGGTGGTCCTCTTCCCCTTTCGTGTGTGTGCCACGATTGTTGAGACGTCTTTGTGTGTATCGTCTTGTCTTGTTTTGTGTGTGTGTGTGAAAGAAATAAAAGAGAGTTAGATCTCCTTCTGTTTCACCGCTTTCCCTCTTAGTAGAGAAATCCAACGTGAGTTCTTATTGAACTGCGCTTGAAGGTCCACTCGAGAATCTTCGAGGTGTGACAACGTCCAGTCAACCGCGCGGGAACTCGGGGATACCGAGCGCCCGAAGTGCTCATGGGCATGCAGTGCCAGACCACAGCAGTGGACGTGTGGGCTGCTGGGGTAGTACTGCTTACCCTGCTGTGCCGCACGACACAGTTCCAATGGTTCCAGCATAACGACATAGTCACGGCAACGATGGAGATCTCTTTGTGTACCTTGGAAGTGCACTTGTCTGACTGTCTGAGCAGCTTGCGCATGTACATCAAGAGCATGGATGCTGTGTGGAAGCACAACTATGGGTATACGGGTCAGTACAGAGATAAGATCAGAGATGTTATCGAAGATTTCAAGCTCGACGTTAAGGTAAAATTGTTGTCGTCGGCGTTGTTGTATCAAGAGGATGAGGATGAGGGTGATATGGAGGAGGGAGGCCTGAGGTTGCTAACTTGATGTCATTCAGATTCCACCATTGGAACTGCATCTCAGCTATGCCCGCGGTTTCAAGCAAACATGGCGGACCTTGTCAAGCTCCCTGGGCGCGCATGCGGGATGCAAGGACTGGCGGGAGGTGGATGAGAAACATGCGATCTGGGACTTCCTCAACTGCTGCCTCGACATCGATCCCCGCACGAGGATTACGGCACTGGAGGCTCTGAAGCATCCCTTCCTCATTAGTGCTGTCAAGTAAACCGTCTCTACCCGTAGCTTTCTCCTTCCTCTCCTCTCATGTCCTCCTCGCCCTCCTGCCTTCCTCGCTAGTGGTCTTGAGTAAACAGTCTCTCCTCCGGCATCTCCTCTCGCAGCGATCAGGCATATCAACTAGCCTGGCCTCCCAGGCGTCCATTTCCCTTCCAACCCCTCCCCTCTCCTTCCCCCAGCCTCTCAAACTCCTCACCTCCTCACAAATGACACCGCCATATTACAATAGGTTGGGAGAAGCCTCAAAAAACGCAATCATGGCAAAGCAACAGGAAGTCTCTTGAAATATGTTTCATATTCAACCGACGAAGCATTCAGGTAAAGGAAGCTAGGGCGTCAACACAACAAGGAGAATCGAATTTCCTTTATGTCTTCGAAGGTTGCTTCTCTGATCGGTTCCCTTCATGTTTCCCTTCTTCTGGAAGTGAATAACCAGCACCTATAGCTGATGAGTGCTTTGGTACGCAAGTGCAAATTTCGATGCATACCTTTCACATTCAACCTACTATAGGTGTGATTCTCAGCCAAGAATTGAGCTGTTTGATCTCAGTACTTGCCTGGCACTTTCAGGAGTTAACATTGAGGGGCCATGGTCCTTGACTGCGCTCAGCAGCTGAGCAAACAGTCCCTGAGTACATTGGGAGTAGTGGGATAGGGAAGAGACCGGGGCAAGTGTGAGGTCGTTTACAAGTGTTTTAGATTGATACGAGAAGTTTGCACTACCCCCTACCCCTCAACACGGGCTGGAGGCCGTTGGAAAGATTCAAATCATTTGAATACCTACCCCGAGCCACCTCATGATTATTTAGTCAACTATACACGCCTATTCATATCAAATAGAGGAAGGTTTTGCTCAACATTGCCCTTCTCGTCTTGGATGGCCCGGCAGCCCTGGCAACGAAAAAGGTACATAAATTGACGGAGCAAACATTTTTAGCTCAATTTTCTCTTGCCGCTTTAATTTGACTAAAACTACTATGAGAACCACCCTGGTTGACTGATCCGACAAGGATACGGAACGGCAACGCTATGTCGGTTGACGTTGAGATCCATCGAATCCTTCCCCTTGCCACTGGGCTTCATCAGGATATGATCCATCCGGTGTTCCAGGGAGAACCTCGTCGAGTTCGTAGATACCACAGACATGCTCTCGCTCCTGAACGTCTCCCTCACCCCTGCCTGTTCACCGAGCGTATTCAACGGCACGCAGCTATCCTCCACCGCCGACTCGTAGAACCTTATCCTCGCGGCCAGCGAGAAGAAATCGCCCATGTCGATCTCCTTGCGGTTGGTAGCGATCAGCATGAGCCTGGGCTCCTCCAGCTGCACGAGCTTCTTGTTGAAATTCTCACCGGTCTTACTGCCCCCGTTGACGTCCGACTTCTTGGAGCATGCCTCGCGAAAAAAATTCTTCGCCTGGATATCAACAATATAGTATGAAACGTGAGGAGACAAAAGCTATAATTTTACTCATTTTTATGTTTCTCGACGTCGAGGCCATAATTTCAATGCTTTTTATGGCCGTCGGACAAAATTTCAATGCTTTTTATATTTAATCAAAAAATTCATTTATTCCTCTTTATTTTCCTTACCGAATCCCTATTATATTTTATTCAATTGAAATAATAGCTGCGCATTGGTGCGGATCATCACACAAAATAACCAAAAACAAACGAGCGCACCCACGGAGTGGGCCAGAGCCAAAACATAATATTAATTAAAATTATGAATCCTTCAAGGATCATATAAGTAATAAAAAAATCAATGTGAGGTGAAACCGCAAAATATTAAATACGTTGTTTTTGCGAACCCCCTAAGTAACAAAATAATCTATCCCCGCCGCCACCCTCCGCCCCCTCCGCCTCTACCCCCCGCCTATTTCACATAACGGCTTAATTTTTCTTTTCTTTATTTTTTCCGCTCTATTACATGCTTAATTTATTTGGCGGGGGGGACGGGGGGGAAAACTCCATTTTTCCATAGCTATATATATATGCCACATGCCGGATGGTCTAAATATATTTATCCTCAAAATCACGATTTTTACCCCCGGCCCCCCCG